ACCACTGGTCCGGTAGGGATCATCAGCCCTGGGTTCCCTGTATATTATACAATTTAATGGTTTAATTAAATTACAAAGTTGTGTATTAACAATTTCGGATTACTTTCTTGATAAATTCTCTTGCTGCACAATGATTTAAAAATTTGAAGTCCCATTTATCTAGTTTTTAAGTGCTCATGCTTTTGAAAAATCCAGTCAAAAACAAGGTCTTGAAGCTTTACCTGTTTTCTTATAGGAGTTTTATGGCTTTAATTCTTATTTGCCTATTTTTAGCCAGCTTTCACATAAGGCATGAGGCATGGGCATAACCATATTCTTTTAATGTGGCGATCCCGTTGTCCCAGCACTATTTATTGAAGAGACTTTTATTTCCCAGTTGAATGACCTCACCACTTTGTTGTAAATCACTTACCATAGGTATGTAGGCTTATTTCTGGACACTCAGTTCTTTTCCATCGGTTTATCTATTTTTATCCAAGTCCCAAACGGTTTGATTCCTACAGCTAGCTTTAGAGTACATTTTAAAATCCATAAGTATAAGCCTTTATTTGTTTTTACAAGATTGCTTTGGCTAGTCAGGGACCCTTACATCAGTGGTTCTCAACCTGTGGGTGGCGACCCCTTTGGGGGCGTGTGTCAAAAGACCCTTTCACAGGAGTCGCCCAATTCATAACAGTAGCAAAATGACAACGATGAAGTGGCAATGAAAATAGTTTTATGGTTGGGGGGTCACCACAACATGAACTATTAAAGGGCCGCGACACTAGGAAGGTTGAAAGCCACTGCCTTACATATTCCATATGAATTCCTGCAAAAATGTTGGAAGTTTGATGAGCTTGGGTTGAATCACCCTCACCCATTGAACTTCCACAAGCGAATATAATGAAAACAGGTTTAGTATGTTTTGTCAGAAGACAGATCTTTTAGAAAATAACATGTAGTAAGGAAAAATGCATTTAATAATACTTTGTATATTATGAGTTTAAACATTTTTTAACTGAGTTAAGATGATAAATTAGTGGAAAGCACATTGACCTTAGATCGAACTGTACTTATTTGAAAATTATTTTGTGTATTGAAGATAGTGTAACTGGTTCATGAATATCAATGGTTTCCACCTAGAACTTGATTAATTTTAAAAAGAAGAGTGAATGTTGTTCAGGGGCTCCTAGATGTTCGCTACCATTCTCTTCTGAAGTATGTTACATGGATTGACACTCCATCTTCATGGGTTGGAAGATGAAATATTACTAAAATGATGCTACTACCACCAAAAGCAATCTATTGAGTAGTTCTGTGTTGTTGATGGGATAAGTTAAAATTTAAATATGTAAGTCCAATTTGGAGCATGATAGTTTCAAAATAAATTTGAAGATTCATGTTAAGATTTAATAAAGATTTGATGACAATTGGATTTTATTATCAGTTGGCTTTTAATCAGAAAACACTCCCCACAAAAACAAAGTCCCTTGTTTTAACTTGTATTTTTAAACGTGTACTCTCCTTGCTCTTCATATGTAAACTTTCAATAATCTTCATGTACCTTAAAATAAAGAAAGTCTCGTTGTGTTTGTATAGAAAAATAGCTTTACTAATTCTCTAGACTGAAGACCGGACTCAAAATTTTCACTAAATATTAATTATCCAATTTTTGTGTAATTCAACTGCTACCTAAAACTGGTAACTTTTAGTTTACCAAGGGGTTTATAGTTTACTTAAAATCAAATTTAACAGTTTTTCATAACAATTCCGTCAGAATAGATCGAAATGAATGTAAAACTGAACTGTATGCACTTAAACAAAACCCATATTGTACAGTGAAAACTGTTATCTATAAATACCTCAATAAGGTGAATTTTAAAAGTGCTAGACTGATTTCTAAATGATGGTAGATTCCCTACAATTACAATTTATTTTAAAAAGCAATTCGAGATCATGACTTGCATCCAGTTACCAAGTCTAGTCAGTCTCCTTTAATCTGGAATATTCCTCGATCTTAATTTTCCTAACATTTTAGTGTTTTAAGCAGGCAGGTCAATTGTTTTATTGAATGCCCCCCAATTGTGGTTCATCTGATGTTTCCCCATGATTAGAGCCTAGCTACATTTTGGGGGGATCAAATACTACAAAAATGAAGTCATTGCTGCATATTGAGAGTGATGTGCTGTCCCTTCATCCCACTAAGGATGGTAACTTGATTGCTTGGCTAGCGGAGATCGCTATGTTCCTTCAGTATAGTTCCCATTTTCTCCTGTTATTTATAGCGTGAGGACATACTTAAATGCAGTATTTTACATGTTCCCATACGTACAGATCTCCTCTGGACTAAATGGATAGTGGCTTCACTCTTACTGCAGTGACATAACTAGGCATGTATTCTAGGAATCTTGAAAGTTAAATGCCTATGTAGTTTTCACACACATTGGCCTTTGGGACATCTTTTGAGCCAGGTGGCGCCTCTTGCACTTGCAAATACATAGATCAGCCCTTGCACATGAACCACACTGCTGTGTGGACTGCTAAGACTCCCATACATTGCACCGTGCTACCTTACCTCCGTTTCCTGTTATTTTTTAAGTGAATTTTAATGCCAAATGTGGACAAATAAGAGGCCAGAATGTCTATTTTTCTACTTTAAAGTCTACAATGGATTCAAGATCAACATATGCAGCAAATATCTTGCATCTTACTAAATTTACAGCATTATAAAGTATATACCTAAATAATCTTGAAGAAAAATTTAAATATTTAAGATGTCAAATGTTAAGTTCAATTAGAAATATATGTGCCTTAGCACAGAGGCTTGATTGAATGTTTGCCTGAATTATTATTAATGGAAATACTGAATTTCAGTCCTTAATGGAGGAAGTTTTATGGATGGGGAAGTAACTCCATACAGTACTTTGGGATAGAACATACATTGTTCAATTTAAAGGAGCCCTAATGCTGTAGTGCTTATACAATGGGCTACTCCTCTCTGTACTTATTTTGAACATCAACACTGTGGTAGTTAAATCACCTGTTGTCAATTTGAGAGAATTAAGAGTAAAGGGGTGGAGTTTAGCATGCAATTAAGTGGCTTGATGACCTCATTTGGAAGTGCTATGCAGATAAAATATAGCTTGCTTGTGGTGGGACACACTCACTCCCTGGGAGACACTACAGCAACTGACAAGACACATGGAGCTACACTAGTGCGAGTGGAGGAGCCAACCTGGAGACCCTTGCCAGCCCTGAGATGCTTACAACACTGGATTCAAATATTTCCCACCCACTTGCCTGTGACCTTCCTGCATTTGGCATCAATGCATGTTTCAGAAGTCTGGGATTTTATAGATTGATATCAGACATATCAGCTAATATCGGACTTATGGACTTGATCTGGCATGGGCTGGGATGTTTTCTTAATGCACAATTACTCTCTATGCATAAGTCTTGTTAAAGTGCCTTCAAAAAGAGATCAATAAAAAGTGGCTCCCAAAGGGAACCTACTAGGCCAAAGGTCAGCAGGATACGGTGACTGTTTTTTGGTTTTCTCAAAAATAGCCAATGATTACCAGGGATTACAAAGTTTTAAGAAAATGGCAAAGTGTATTAGTGAGAAAAGGCGAGGGAAGCTGCACAGCTTCCTCTTGAGGATAGCAAGGGCTGTCCTACCATTTATTAGGAAAGCTTACTCTACCCAACCGCCAACTCTGATCTTGCCCAGACCGTTTCCAACACTCAAATAATATCTCAAAGGAACACAATTTGAGTTCTTTGAGGATTCCAAAACTGCCACTCTTGATGAGGTATAAAATGGAAGAATGTAGACTTGTAGCTTAAAATAAGCCAGGGTTATCTATCTATACCTTGGTGTGATAGTTACGTAATCTGATGTAAACTTGAGACTATTTAAGAGCGAAGGGGTGTTGTTTAGCCTGTCAGTCAGATCACTACTTGATGGCCTCATTTGGAGGCACTAGAGATACATAGCTCACTCAAGGCGGAAGACACACTGCCTGGTATTCCTGATGACAAGACACATGGAGGTATGCTAGAACCCTGGAGCTGGAGGAGGCACATGGAAACCCATGCCCCAAAACTTTCTCTCCACCCACTGGCCCGTGATCTTTCTGCATTCAGTGTCAATGCCAATTCATGTTCTGTGTGAGTCTGAAGGGAGAATTTATAGATTGGTATTGGACTTATGGGCTATTATCAGACTTATGGCCTTGAACTGGACTGGGATGTTTTCTCAATATATATAATTGCTCCTTTATATATAAAACTATTTCTTATACACATAGGTGCGCCTATGAATTTGTTTCTCTAGTCTACCTGGGACTAACACACTTGGAAATTTGCAAATATTGTAAATCTCCCCTAAAATTATGTTAATTTCCTACTAGAATGTGGGCTTCTTGAAGACACAAGCCATCTTGCTTCTCGTTCCTTTAGCATAATGATTGGTACCAAATACTCAACATTTACAACTTATCAACACAAAAGAGGTTTTTAAAGACTGATAAAACTTGCAAGCATACCTTCGGGTATATGGAAAAGTAGTGGGAAAATTAGTATATTAACTCAGAATTGACAAAATTTTGTACATATATACACTGGAGGAATGTTGGAAATAGGAAGTCAGGTGCTTAAAACCAAGTCAGATATTTTAATGTACTAAAATAATAAGACAAAACAATATTGAAAGAAATTAAGTTTTATTTAAAGACTTTCCCCCCCACACATATCTCCTAAAGACTATACAATAACCATTGCTCCAATACCAAAATTTCTAACAGCAAAATATACAATTGCTCTAAATAAATAAGGGTTGTCCTTCAATGATTAGGGCATATTTAAACCTCAATAAGTTTAACACACACACATCACATTGTAAGTTGGCAAGGTTTAACAGATAATACATGTATTTCAAATACATGTTATGGAGCCTACATGTTTTTCATCTTTAACAAAAACTTAATTTTCAGGGTTCAAAATTCCATTCTTTAAAAGAAACAACCACATAAGGATTTTCTTCTATAGCTTCAAATTGTCCACCCTCAACTATTTGGCAGGTTCGTGCCACCCCAGACAACCCTGACATGACTGAGTTACTTTGTTACCATTCTACCCAAAATAAACAATTAAAAAAAGTATCATAAACATACAAGTCTCTTAATACACAATGCCTAACACAAATTTTTAAAAGGTCAATTTCTATCCCATCTGATTAGCTACAATTTTCTATAAAGAAAGAAAAATAATTTACCAAACTTTAACACCAGGGTTCCTTTTTAACTCAAGATGTTTAACTAAGCAGTAACAATTCCACCTTTTAAGAGTATAGTGCCGAGTGGAAAAACAGCAATACAACCGACAAAATGTAGATATTACGTAAACCAAAGATGTTTGCAAAAGGGTGCTTAAAAAAGTCTTCAACTGCAACCATTCAATTTATCAATAGCGTCCTGAAAGATAAAAACCAGAAATGTTAAAATATGACAATTATAATTTGATTTGTCTAGTATTTTCTAACAATAACCGGCCTCCATATTCTCTACTTTTCTAAACTGAATGGTTATTTAGAAATGAGCTTCCTACTATTACAAAATAGAGTACACTTACTCGGGCTGTAAGAACGAGACCTGGATCGTGATCGGTATCGACTGTAGTAAGGAGAAGGTGACCTTCTTCTGTGGGAAATGAAAGACTTAGTACACCACATGATCATGCCACGAAGGCAGATGAAAACGTGCAACATGCAAACTGATGTTCAACATGGGAGCTATTAGGTTCTCTGTGGACCAATGATACTAGTAGAGAATAATACACACGGGACAAAATATTGGCTAATGACATTAGCCACTTTGGTCAGTTGAATAAAATTACTTTACCCTATTAATGCCAACTGCTATGATCATCAAATTTAGATAGAAACCACAAAGTAAAGCATTACCTGTACCGATAATCATAGTCTTCGTATCTGTCATACCCACGATCATATCCTCTATCATAGTAGGAATCTCGACGTCTGCCACCACCGCCGCCACCACCGCCACCTCCTCCTCCACCACCGCCACCGCCGCCACCACTGCTGCAGAAAGATGCAAAATTATCATTTAATATACAGTTCCTCAAACTTCTTTGGCCTACTACCTCCTTTCTAGGGGGGAAATACCCTTAATACCACTCAGCAGTTGGATAAAGTGTACTTGGTTTTGCAGTCCCACCCCCACCCTGGAATAACTCCAGTACCCTCCAAGGGGTGGTATCACCCATTCTGAGAAACAATGATTTCATCCAAATTAGTAGCTTAAAAATATTATTGGGGGAAGAAAGGAGGGGGAAAAAACTTTTATGCCAATTCAAGCCTCGATTTTATGAGAATAGTGGAATGCTTTCAAAGAACGTAACGTGAGAAACTGCTCTTCCAAGAACATACCACAAAAGCAGCAGGACCTTTTCAACATAGTGAAACCACACTGTTCTGAGGAAGTAGTACAACTAAGTTAAGCTGTGCATTCCTATAACACATTCAAAAGCAATGAACACATTTTTATAATTAAGAAAAAGTAATCACCCACAACACTAGAGAGAAGTTGAAACTAGTTCACAACCTGATATTTAATCCTTTAGCAGTGAATTCATAGGGACACGATTCTCATCTTTGTTTTCTGTAGGCTCTCCCTTTTCAGAGACCCTGTTTTCTTCCAACAGGTTACAAAAAATGAAAAGCAAGCTTATAACCCTTTCACTTTCAAGAAACACCTCTATGGATCACGTCTTTGGTTGAGTTATTTATGCTTTTACACAAAATGTGAAAATTGCAGCAAGGAAAACAAAAACCAGTATTAGAAACATCTCCACTCCACAGGCCTCTCAAAGTCAAAGAACAGAACGTGTTTTTCAAAAGCACCCAGTCTAGTATTTAATAATGGTTTCCCCTATTTGTAGATTATCCAAAGAGCAAGGAAATCCACTTCATAGTTTTATCTGGTCCCCTACTCATATGAATAGGTGCAAATCAGTAAATTTCAACTTCAAGTAAGAGAGGAAACCATTTTAATTTTTTGATTAGTTAAATATCTGCACAGACCTCTAGTGGGTTTTAACTGTTTAGTTTTGGAAACTTGAAATCTTTTTTTAATATTTTTATTGGGGGCTCCTACAACTCTTATATCCACATATCCATCCATCCATCCATCCATCGTGTCGAGCACATTTGTACATTTGGAAACTTGAAATCTTACTGAGTTGGTCTGCCCATGTAGATGCCTGGTGTAGGTGTGTGTGCTCTCTTGGTGATAGAATAATCCACACGAATTCTTCTGCCGTCTAGCTCCATTCCATTTGCCCTTTCCATAGCCTACAAGGAGAATAGGTACAGAAAGTCATGTATAATTACTGAATTTTAATTACTTAAAAATTTAAAGTATTTATAGCCCAAATAAAGTAAAATTTAAAAAAACCGCAGAGAGGTATTTTTAAACGTCTTTAGACTACATTGTCTGGAATATTTTATTTTACACAGTCCAAAAAACAGCCAATAAGAATCCCTAAAAAGTTTCCTCTATTTAATGAGATCAATAGGAAAGTCTTATAAGTTTTTCATCTTGGTAAGCCACCTTATTCTGCGCATTCAACGTACAAGGACCAACTTTAAAATATTCTAATTGTGTACTGAGTTTCATATAATAGTTCTAATTATAAGCTAAGCCCCACCTCACCATTTACAGCCTAGCATACTGGTGACACAGTAAGTTTAGTGCTGTTAAATTTAAGGATGCCCACCCCCCCAGAAGAATATATTTCAGAGGACAGCACTGGAGCTGCAACTCAGGGAGAGAAACATGTCTAATCAGAGGACACCCTGGGCCACCAAACCTTGAGGATGATATTCCCACGCAGAGCAGCCAATCCACAGAGAAGACCACATGGCCAGCCCCACTATGAGATACGACATCCCTTACTGACCCATAGCCCTACGGGGGTCAATACTGGAGGCACAGTGTGGGAATTGTGCCTGATCTGATCCCACCACACCGAAGCAAAACACTAAGGGTGTGCAACAGAGCAACGAAGTCCCCAGGGAATAAAAATTTAAAAAAAAAAGACTTTGGGGCCAGAGCTCGGCACCCCATCAGACTCAACCAGAAACATTACTAAGTGCCAACAAACATCCCTTGAACTAACTACAGGCTTTTCTTTTCTTTTTGTCATTGGCTTTTTGTTTTGTTTTCTTTTGTTGCTTTTGCTGTCTTATTGTTGTGCATGTTGTTATCACCGCAGGTCTATCTAGATAAGATAGGCTGGATGAACAATCTGGAGAAAACACCGGGACTGATGGTTTTGGGGTGTTGTGTGTCATGGGAGTGGGGGAGGCGGGGGGAAAGGATGTGGTGTTAACAAACCCAGGGACAAGGGAACAACAAATGATCCAAATCAGTGTTGAGGAGGGTATAGGAGACCTGGTAGGACATGATCAAGGGTAATGTAATCAAGAGGAATTACTGAAACCCAAATGCAGGCTGAGCATCATAGTGGGACAAGAGGAAAGTAAAAGAAGAGGAAAGAACTAGGAGGCAAAGAGCATTTATAAAGGACTAAATAAGGGCATGTACCTATGTAAATATATTTATATAT